AACTGTATAAAGGTACCAAAAATGATACCAAATTTAACTCTTACAGTGCTTATGCAATAAAACTACTGCGAAAAAACTTTATATTTAAAATTATCTTTGAATTTTGTCAAATTTTAATGAACTGCTGATATGAATTAAAAAAACAATATCTAACTGGGCGCTTATATGGGGGTTGAGTGGAGGTGGCCAGTTTAGAACAAGGCAAAATAGAAAAGTTAACAGCCGAAGCATCGATTGTGGGAAGGTTTCTAATGCAACAGTAGCTAATACTAGATATCAGAGGTGAAGGCATGAGGTTAATGGGAGGGAAATGAGGTGGTGAGGGTAAATAAAAAGGTCTAAAAAACCCGACTATATATCATTCTGAATCAAATCGCTTATAACTTGCAACTACAACAGTTTTGCATCATGACTCCCTCCTAGATAGTGCATGTAATGGCGTGAAGCAGCCTAAAGTCCGCTGTTTCTATGCTAAAAAGTGAGCCTTCTGCGGTGTTTCGTTGGAGTGAACTATGCAGGGGACAACGGATTCTACTACCCCGAGGTCTCGCCAAGGAACCGACAACCCGGCCCGACAAGCCAGGACACTCAGCCGACGAGTGACTCAGCCACAGCCCAACAACAGTCTTTAAGTTGATAATTATAACGAATGACTAATCCGAGAAGTAAAGAATAGCCAACCCGCTTCATTCCACAACTGTCGCTCATACTTCAGTGGCTCGTTACGTCGTGCTTCAACAGCCAAAGTGCTATCGCCCCTCAGCTCCTTGCCTCGGGCCATACGCGATGCCTTCGTCCATCTTGTTTTCCTGGGATTACGCTTCTTCTTGAACAGCTTGTGACATTTCGAACGACAAAATCGGAATACCTGAAACCCTGTTAGTTAATAACTACTTAATTCACAGAATAACAAAGTATCTTAATTTAAACATTAATGCTAGTACAGTGCTCTGAAACATTCGTCTTTGACGAGTTTTTGGCATAATCCCTGTCAATCACCGGGGCAGTAAAGTTCCGCGAAATGCATGACAAGACACATATGAATTAATGGACCGAAACATCCCAGAAAAAGCCAGTACTATTTTTAGCACTCCTCATTTCCAATTCTTTTTTTTTTCCGCTGTTTTTTGATTGCATCTTGTATAACTAATGATTTTTGAGATTTTTAGGATTTTTGATTTTGCAGCTTTTACAGATATGCACTTGAATTATGAGTTTTTAAAGGTCCTGATACATTTGTAAATACGTACGCATATACATTGGAAAGACCAAAAAATGTGGACATTCGATGTTAGTGATGTTACACACTCAGAGCATCTTTGCTAGGCCTTTCGATTCTGGGCTGTCATAGCCTCCGAGCTGTTACGGACGCATACGTCCCTCCCTTTCCTGCATCTGTATGAATGGATATAAATTATATAAAATCGGGTAATACGGGGGATGGAAGTGTGGCAGCCTCGAAATTGCCATACGACAAAATAAAAACTCTTGAAGTTCGTGTGTGTGTATGTGTGTGTGCGCACGTGTGTGTGTGTGTATATCTGTGCACGCCCGCGTATGTACAAATGGTGCATATATGTGTATGTATGTGCGTGTATGTGTGTATGCGTGTACGTAATAAATGTACATGCTCGTGAACAACAGAGAAACATACGGTGCAGTCGTTGCGTACGAATGTGATCCCATGGCCTGGGTAGACGTTCGAGGAGCAGAAATAGCACTTCTCGATCCTCATCTTGCAGCAAAGCAGCAGCAGCACCGGACAACAACTGGAACTCCCGAAGGCACCTGGAACACAACAGCACAACCACTAAGGATTTGCCGGAATCAATATGGAGCTTACACAGCTGAGAAAAAGCCTCCCGAACCTCTCCCACAATCTCTACTTTATGAAATGAATGAATGAATGGATCGTGGTGAGACCACGAAACGAGGAAATGAAACAGATAGTGAAACGCATATGTTTATTATAAAAAGTTAAGAAGATGTAAGGAGGACATGTTGGGAAGC